ATATATATAATATCTGATCCACACATAATTTTTAAATTTTCTTTTAAATTATAAAAATATTGTCTTATACCCCTCAGATATATTTCCAGGGGCCTCAGGTAGAGTCATAAATGTAGAGACTTAACACAGATTATTTTAACTGATCTTGCCTTCCAGTGACCCTCCTGTAGACAGTTCAAACATCACTGAGATATGCCAGTGAGGAGCTTAAATTTATCATTTGGATTCAAAAGAGAAAACTGCAGTTAACATCATTTTTAGTAACTGGAATACCTACACACCTGTGGGCTTAACACATACTCTCAAATTCCTATGGACACAAACAATTTTCTCAAATCAAAAACATTAAGTGGTTGGGAGCTAGAATAAAAGCTGAAATGACTGCACAAGGCAGAAGTTGAAAGCATTCTACAGTTGACTGATCACAGCACTTGTCCTGCTGTTTCAATGTAATGCATAGAGTCATCAGTGGAAATGTGTGTGTGTGTGTGTGTGTGTGTGTGTGTGTGTGTCCGTAGACTGAGTGTGCATATTTTGAGCCTCCCATTCTCTCTGCTATAGCCCTGGTTTAAAAACACATCACACTATCTTTGTATTACTGTACCAGGCCCCTAACTTATCACCCCACTTCCAATCTCTCTGATTGGCAACCCAGGCTATAGTATTCACATGAATCTAATCAGTGTAATTTTCATTGAGTACCTTCTTGGTACCAGGGATTATTCTAGTGACTAGGGATATAGCTATGAAAAATACTGACCATGTTGCCTACTGAGAATCTTACTAAAGAATCTGGTGAAAGGGAAAAGACATAAACAAGCAAACAAATAAGCAAGAAGGTAATTACAGACAATAATAACTACATAGGGAAATGGCTGCCTGCTGGCCACCCTAGATAAAGCCATGTGGTGACTTTCAGGAAATGCATGCTTTATAGAGGGGACAGGAAATGTTAAGGCTGTGAGACAAGAGCAAACCTGGAGCATGCAAGAGATTATTTTTAAAAGACAGGTGGTGCCCAGCTGGTGTTGCTCAGTGGTTGAGCACCCATCCATGAACCAGGAGGTCACAGTTCAATTCCTGGTCAGGGCATATGCCTGGGTTGAGGGCTAGATCCCCAGTGTGGAGTGTGCAGAAGGTAGCCGATCAATGATATTCTCTCATCATTGATGTTTCTGTATCTCTCTCTTTCTCCCTCTCTGAAATCCATAAAAAACATTTTTAAAGGCAGGTGGTAAGCAGTGAGGAGATGTGGGAGATGAAGTCAGAAAAACAGAGACCAGCAAGGTATGTAGAGACCACGTTAGCCACTGTGAGGATTTGGGCTTTTATAACATGTGTTTTTACAATGTATTGGGAAGACTGAGAATGAGTGACCTTTGTGCTTTTCAAAAGTCACTCAGGTTGCTGTGTGGAGACAGGAAGATGACAAGAGTGAGAGAGTGGGGAAGGTAGAAGGCATGGCAGTCACCTAGGAATGAGCAATGGTGGCAAACTCTCTCTGTAAAGGGCCAAACAGTAAACATTTCCAGCTTTGCAGGCCTACAACTACACCTGGCATTCTAACACAGCACAGAAGTGGCCACAGGCAATATGCAAATGACATGACTACTTTCCAAGCCAACTTTATTTATGAACAGATATTTGAATTTCATACAATTTTCATGTTACAAATCATCCTTTTGATTTTTTTCAGGCCACTTAAAAATATAGAAACTATTCTTAGCCTGCAGACCTCACAGAAACAGGTCCTGAGCCAGAAGCTGGCCTGCAGGCCTTAGTTTGCCACCCTTTCCCCCGAGTTAGCCTGCAGCTATGGCAGTGGACATGGGGAGATATTTGGAGTTTATAAGGATACAGAGTTCACAGGATGTGCAACTGGGTTCACACAACAAGTGAAGAAAAGGGGAAAATGGAGGAAATTTGCTGGGTTTTTACCTGAGCAGCTGACAGATCACCACGGCCCAGAACCCTGGAGCCCTGTGATCTTGGGACTCTCACAAGCCCCTTTCACTGCCTCACTGTGCAATAAATCTAACCACCTGGCACTGTGTTTCAAATCCTCATCACCTGGCACAGCCAACTTCTCCAACCTTGCCTCCAACTGCCACCCTTCACCTGCCTTACTTTCCAATCACCACTGTTTTCCAGTCTGCAGGCTCCTGTTCACAACCCCAAATCCCTTCCCTTCTGTTCCTCTATGTCCAAATCCCCGGCATCCTGCACCGGCCATGGAGAATGCCACCTGTCCTCAAAGACTCCCGGCTCTCCCAGCAGGAAGGAACGGAGTGCCAGCCCCTCTATTTCTATTTCTCGCACCACATAGCTTCACTTCTATTTGTGTGAGGTGCTAGGATTCACATCTCAGGCCACTGCCTGAACTTTAAGCGCAAAAAAAATAAATAAATAAATAAACGGACCACATATATATCCTTACATGTGGTAGGCACTGAAACTTTTATTAAAATATTTAAGAAGATCAGTGTGGAGGTGTGGAAGACAGAAATTATATATGTGCCTGTACAAGAAAGCTGCTTTCTTGCTCTTCTAATAATAACTTTTTAAAGGACAGATATTTAAAACAGGAACCACTAGCAATAAGTCGGGGGCTACCTTTATCACTTCTCTTAAACCTTTCTATTAATCCTTCCAAACGTCAATGCCCTGTTTACATGTGAACAATAAAAAAGGTCTTGTTGAAAGACTTGCCTTGAAGCAACTCCAAAAGTCTTCTTTTATTTGATGTATTTTATTTTAGACAAACATTTTTAAAACATTCAATAGCATAAAGACAATATGCTAGCTACCCCCAACAGTAAGCATCCAACATGCTCAGAACCGCCTAGGAAACAACTCTCTAACCCACTCACCGAGAGGTGCTCCCGCCCAGCTTTGTCAGCAACATCTGTGGAAGGAATCTCGTTACTT